CAACACAAAGAAGAGTTATGTAAAGCCAAACAATTTTAAAAAGTACTTCCCCCTGGCCCTTCAGTGTTATTTTTGTCAGAAAAGAGAGATATTTCCCTTGGCATGGCCACCAGCAATACCCTCCAGAATATACATTGGAAAGAAAGACAATTCCTTTCTACATGTAAAAAAAGATGGTAATCCAAAATCTCAGAACTAAACAACACAAAGAAGAGTTATGTAAAGCCAAACAATTTTAAAAAGTACTTCCCCCTGGCCCTTCAGTGTTATTTTTGTCAGAAAAGAGAGATATTTCCCTTGGCATGGCCACCAGCAATACCCTCCAGAATATACATTGGAAAGAAAGACAATTCCTTTCTACATGTAAAAAAAGATGGTAATCCAAAATCTCAGAACTAAACTGGGGTACAGGGTTGCACTGCTATGAGCCGTAGATCAATCTAAACACACCTAAAGGCCCACCTTCTCCCCCATGCCCCACTGTGATCCCTGTCATCCCAAGAGCAACTTGCTGCAGGTACCATCAGTATGCCAAATCAACTGGGCAAAAGTATGTGGGAGGTTGTTCTCCACAATCACTCCTCGGCTCTGGAACTCCCTCCCTCCTGAGACTTGTCAACCGGGACATCTTTTTGGAAGTGCTGCCAAGACCTTTCTGTTAAGGCAAGCATTCAGCAAACAAAACTAGGCCAACAGTTGTTTTATTTTGTTAGTTTGTTTTATTTATTCTAGCAGCCCTTTAAGTAAAGTTTCTCTTACTGTAAGCTGCCCTGAGCCTTTGTTGGGAAGGGTGGCACATAAAATCATATAAATAAAATCAATACATAAATGAACATTTCATACCCATCATTAGTAGTTAATACTCCTGCCTCCTCCCAACCCCGCCTCCCCACACACAAACATAAGAAATGAAGCAATGGTGCCTTACCCGCAAACAGGTCCATATTCCTTTATCAGCTGTGTGTGCTTTTCCCAAAAGCCCTGAAAAAAAAATTATACACATCATCATCAGTATTTGGCATTGCCAGGACATTCAAGATCATAAAATTCAGCATTTCCAGTATCAACCATATCTACTAACCCTCTTAAACCTCAATTCATGTTAGTATCTCAGAATTTTAGCTTTTTCTTTTGGAAGAAAGGAAATTTCTAGCAATTATGGTTGTAGAAAACATCTGATAGGCTCAAAAAAAGCAAATAAAAGAATAGAGCTTCATAATTTTAAGGCTATTTCATCCATGGGGGGGGGGGGCTGACAATTTTTATATGTTTGTGATCAGAAAGACGGACAATGAAGAAATTAATCAAGAGTAGGTACAAAACTTGCTCTACACAGAAGAGAAACAAAGGCGTGTGTAGACAAAACAGGGGCCCTAAATTGAAGTGGTGGGTTTTAAAAAACACCGCTTCAATTTAGGGATGATTAAATCCCTGTGTCATGCACACACCCCGCTGACTTACCTGCCAGGGAGGGAGGGCAAGCTGTTGGCGGGCAGAGCAGTCCCTGGGCTGCGGGAGGGGCTGGTGCTTCCCTCCATGGCAGCTGCAGCCCCCACCCCAGGCGGCACCTGCCCGCAGGCACCCAGCTCGGGCGGTCCCAGGAGGCAACACAGCCACAGAGGGAGGCACCAGGCCCCCGCACAGCTCAGGCAAGCAGGCAGGCTCCAAGGGTGGGGCGGGGGAGATCAGGCTGTCCGTTTTTCGTGGGTGGAGCTGCTTTCCCCAGCTGCTGCCAGGCTGCCTGCAGAGCCATGGAGCTGCACGGAACCCGGTGCTTCGCTCCACGGTTGTAGGGGCATGCAAACACCAACACCATTAAAGCAGTGCAAAAGCATCTACCCCACTTTAAAAAAAAGTGTCATGTGCACACACCTAAAGGAAGCAAAATGTATGAAAAAAAATAAAACTTTAACCTACTAAAAAAAAAATTCTGCTTGGTTTGAATTTTTACATGAGGCAGTCACTTGAGATAAACCAGGGAAAAAATAACTGCTTTATTTTGACAGACTTTTAGAATTTTTTTACTATTTGTGTTTCACTCTAGTAATTGAAGAAAATTGGTACCCTTTTAAAATGAAGAAATCTGTCACTGTACTAAATTGTTTCTGTCCTATACACATACAACTTAAATTTGCCGAGAGGAGACACGTACAGTATATCCCAACAGTGAATAAATAAAGATCTCTTCTTTTACTATGACAAAACCATAACAGTCAGACTATCATACAGTACTGCATTTGTAACCTGGGGGATGAAACAAGTTTAACGTGGTTAGTTTGCATTTCTTCTAACCCATAAGCAAAACTGCCACCCACTTCCACAGTGGTTTCTCCATTTCTCAACAAAGATTATCTAGCAAAGTGGTGTATGAATGTTCTATATTGACTTAATTACTTTTACAATATACTACAGAACATTAGCTAAAACAATATGAAGTATTATAAATAATTAAAATTAAACTATAGCTAGTATAAATAGCCAAAAGACACTGCAATGCAGTAACTGTACTTTTTGTTGCTTTTTCTACCTAGTTAAAAAAAATCTGGTAAGTGGTAATGGATCTCCCATTTATCACTGCAAACTGGTGAGCTATTTTCTATTGTATATAAAAGAAGTTTTAGGGGTTTTATTCTTAAAGTAAAATACTTTTTTAACACCATGGGTTTTTAAACATGGCTTTATTGGGGGTTTTTTATTAGTTTGAGACTAGTTCTTCTCATTTGTTTTATAATTATCTAACATTAGAAAGATAAAATGAAAATGGCTTTGGATATTACAAAAGAAGATGAGAGGGGATAAAATGCAGAAAGGCAAAATTTAGGCTTAATATTTCAAAAAGGGAGCTCTATTGACATGTAAGCTGATTTCCAAAGTAAATGGGGGAAAGCCCTTTTAAAAACTAGAAGGGGCAAAACATTATTAATAGGAACAATCCTGCATCATTGAGAATACAGAGCACATGACCCAAAAGACATTTTTATATTCTGTGGGTGAAATCAATGGCATGTCAATTAACATCAATGGAAGGCTGTCACCAACTGCAATGAATATAACCATTTCATCCTTCTTAAAATACTGCACTCTGCCTTCAATGACTGGTATAAAGGAAACACTAGGTCTATTTCTCCCTTGCCTCGGCACATTTAAACCTATGCAAAGTGGTTCAGATTGCATAAAGCAGACAGTGTATATCAGTCAGTCTCAGAGACTCTAAGCAGCCAAACACAATTAAAAAAAAATATATAGCAGTTTTGAGTCCAAGCAACATAAGACAGATCCCAATGGAACCAGTGATTCTCCGACGCCAAGTGCTAAAGTGTAAAATTCTACTAACTGTGTACAAGGTAAAACAACCACATGAAGTGAAAGGCAGTGCAGAATCAAAACCATAATCTAGTCTCACCAAAACAATTATAAGGTGTACCCAAAAATAGATTGACATTTTTTTAATAGATGAATTAAATATAGATGTGGAAGCTTTGTTCTGGAACACAGATGCTCACACACATACACAATTGCTGTACTACACAATCAGTTACATTCTGGTGAGAAATCAGGATACTCACATTTACAAGCCCATCTTTTAAAATAAACGGGGGGGAAAAAAGACAACTTTCAAGAAAGCAAGTTTCTTCAAAACATTTTGATGTCATATATCTTGACTTCAAAAAAGCCTTCGATCTGGTTTCCCATAATCACCTCTTGGAGAAACTGGCCAGTTGTCGCCTTGGGTCCTCCACGATCCACTGGCTGGAAAATTGGCTCCGTGGTCGGACCCAGAGGGTAGTAATTGATGGAAGTCACTCATTGTGGTGTCCTGTGACCAGTGGGGTCCCCCAAGGCTCTGTCCTTGGACCCATACTGTTCAACATCTTCATTAATGATGTGGACGCTGGAGTCAGAAGCAGACTGGCCAAGTTCGCCGATGACACCAAACTTTGGGGCAAAGCATCCACACTAGAAGACAGGTGGGTGATCCAGGCTGACCTGGACAGGCTCAGCAAGTGGGCGGACGAGAATCTAATGGTGTTCAACACCAATAAATGCAAGGCTCTCCACCTTGGGAAGAAAAACCCACAGCATCCTTATAGGCTCGGCAGTGCTATGTTGGCTAGCACTATGGAAGAAAGAGACTTGGGGGTCATCATTAACCACAAGATGAACATGAGCCTGCAGTGCGATGCTGCGGCTAGTAAAGCGACCAAAACGCTGGCTTGGATCCATAGATGCTTCTCAAGCAAATCCCGGGACATCATTCTCCCCTTGCACTCGGCCTTAGTGAGGCCGCAGCTGGAGTACTGTGTCCAGTTTTGGGCTCCACAATTCAAAAAGGATGTGGAGAAGCTTGAGAGAGTCCAGAGAAGAGCCACGCGCATGATCAGAGGTCAGGGAAGCAGACCCTATGATGACAGGCTGAGAGCCCTGGGGCTCTTTAGCCTGGAAAAGCGCAGGCTCAGGGGTGATCTGATGGCCACCTATAAGTTTATCAGGGGTGACCACCAGTATCTGGGGGAACGTTTGTTCACCAGAGCGCCCCAAGGGATGACGACTAGGTCGAATGGTCATAAACTACTACAAGACCGTTTCAGGCTGGACATAAGGAAGAATTTCTTTACTGTCCGAGCCCCCAAGGTCTGGAACAGCCTGCCACCGGAGGTGGTTCAAACGCCTTCATTGAACACCTTCAAGAGCAAACTGGATGCTTATCTTGCTGGGATCCTATGACCCCAGCTGACTTCCTGCCCTTTGGGCGGGGGGCTGGACTCGATGATCTTCCGAGGTCCCTTCCAGCCCTGATGTCTATGAAATTAACATATCTTATTGATACTCAAGAATAGAGGGGAGTAAATCAGAATACATTCTTAATCATAAACCTTGATCACAGAATAATCCAGTGCTTTTGGAGAGATTCACCTGAGCTTTGTTCTGGCTTCTGCCGATATAAACCAAGGCATTGACTCCTCAGTTGTATAAATCCTTCTGTCTAGAAGAGGCTGTGATAATGTAAAAGTTGGCTGCAACCTCCTGGCCACTCGTGCAAAAGGCCACAGAGAAAGTGCTGGCTGGGTCATCAAGGGATGACCATGACCCAGCCAGAGCCACCACCAGCAGGGCTCCAAGGAGCATAACTGCCATCAAATGGCTATTACAGAAACACGGTCTTCTTCCCCTTACTGCCTAAAGCACATTGAATTCTGCAAGGGAAGGGAGGTGCCATTTACAACTTCTTTGAACCACCAGAGGTAAATCTCCCCTTGGAGTACTATTGTAGATTTACCTACACTGCTACCTACAAGAACATTCTGTACATATACGGTAACTGATCATCCATAAAAGCATCCTATAAAATCAGCTGTTTTACAGGCAGAGAATCTGAAACACTAGAGCTACCATTTGGAAGCTGGTAACCGTGAGCTTGTACAAAGATTCAAGGAGACACATATTAACTTCTGAAGAACTGCACGTGGCTACAGAGCTGCAGGTTGGCCACCCCTGCACTAGAGGCTGTACAGTATGTCAGTCGCAAAGCCAAGATATGAACTCATGTTTCTACCTTCCATAAGCTCAGTGAACTACATATTGTTATAGATCCAGTTTTAGAGATACTGGGGTAGAAGGAAAACAGAACCACTGTAGGTTTCCAGGAATCCCTACAGGAAATGCAAAGCAAAGTATGGCATTTTTAGGTGCTGGCCCTAGCCTCCCCTACCCCAACCAGGGTAACTTGCCACGTGCCAGACTGAGTGCAGGGGTGTTCCCTGGGGATAATTAGCAGCAGCCCCTTGAGTCTATCACTATCTAAAACAGTGGTGTCTCATTGTTTAAAAAAAAGTCAGTCAGTTATGTTTTTAAAGTTAGAAAAGTCATTTCAGCTGGGTCACAACTAGAAGCTTAAGAAAGAGTTTTTAAATTAAATTTGACCCTTATAATTTGCTACCAAGCCCAATAATGGCTCATTATCAAAGAAATGAACACATGCA